TGTAAGAAATATGCGATAATTTACGGAGAGGAAATGTACCCATTGATGTTCATAAATTACGAAAATATAAATAATCATGAAGTTAAGTGAAAAACATGTTCCTTTAAATACCAAAAAAAAAAAAGTTTTGGTTAATTAATCCGGTGGATTCCTTCCTCTTCTACTGGCACCGTTATTGTCTATGTCAGGAGGACTAATTGGTAAAGTAATAGGAAAAAAAAATCTGATGACAAAGCAAAGGGCCCTAGTCCCTCCCGAATTGTTAGCGGCATATCAGAAACCTGAAATAAGACTTTATCTCTTAATAATGTTATAATTAATGCAGGAGTAATTGGTTGTGACTACTGCGGAAACATCGGAGTTGTGATGTTGTTGGGAGTTGGGTGTTGATGGGAGTTGTGAATAATTTTGGAGCAGAAATTATTATTTTTGACGATGGAACAGCTTTCGCTCAAATAATTTGATGCATCCAACTCTTATAGAAACAGATTCATTAGACATCACTGACATTGGAGAATGTACCGAAATTATTTTTTTTCAAAAATAATTTTGTACTCAATTTAAATCCATTATTCTATATACGTACTCAAATATTTTTTTTGTATTTGCACTCACTTTAAATCTGTATTCAAATAAAAAACGAATAATATGAAAAAGAATTGTTTATTTCTTTGTAGACAATTCACAACCCCTCATCGACTGGGAAAACTTTCTCGTCTTGGCCATTAGAAGAACGTACTATTCGTCATTTTAAAAATTATATTGATTGGGATATCATCAGTCGGCGACACGATTTATCTAACACGATTATTTCGGAATTTGCGGATAAACTAAATTAGGAATACATATGTAAAATTACAAATTTGAAATCGTATTTATTATACAACATATTAATTTTGCAAAATGAGATTTAATTTGCCAGTATCAGCAATTAAATGAACAATTCCTAACAAATTTTATGAACCATCTCGCTTAGAATAAATTTGTGTGCCACGATTTTAAAAAAAATTATTTATAAATTATTTGTGTAAATTAAATTTGTGATTAGTCCCACTCATTACTCTACTACTAATATTGAATCAAAGAACATCATGCAAACTCGGCTTCATTACGTATTAATGCGAGGAAACAGAAGCAACGTCAGCGCTTTTGCGTGCATTACTTCTAAATTATGCCACTACGAGGCCACAACGTCTATAGTAAGGTAATCGAATGATAAACGTGCTATTTTACTCTTCGAATTGGGCGAAGAGACCAACGTTGCGTATGAAAAAAATTCATTTTTAAGTATGATAAAATTTAACTGATTTTCATTTTTAATTAATACAAATTACGAATAAAGTATTCGTAACTATGACCATAAATTTATACAAATTCACTTTCTCCTATTGGTCAAGTTGGTCATGGCATAATTTAGAATTAATGTTCGCGCTGAATGGTTGTTAACCTATCTCGAGTGTTTCACAAAGGAAAAGATTTCAAAATCTTTATTCAAATTTATTCCCATTGCTATATTCGTAGAAAACGTCATGCTTCTATGTTATTCAATATGTTAGACTTTATTAATTTATTGCTTTATTATTTCCTGAGAATAGTAAACATAAAATTACTTAACAATTTTTGAATGTATCGATGCTAATGTTCCGTGTAATAAAACGCATATGAATGGTGTTTCCTTTCGTCTCTTCTCGTAACTGTATAAGCGTAGTAACTAACTATTATTTAGAAAAAGAAATTTGTTACCCAATTACGAGACATATAAGTAGTTTCCACTTCAGCATATTTGCAGTTTGAGAAAAGTATGATGTACAGTACAACGCTAAAGCGGAATATATATGCTTACTTGCGATAAATAAATGACAATCGTTCTTAAATATCGCATTTCAAATCCCGGAAGTAACGCTGCAATCTGCTCTGCAAACGTATGTTTGTTCAGGTGGACCAGCACAGGCGCCATTGCAGACGGATTAACAACTGTTCGGCCTGTTACTAATGAGTTTGATGCGTTCATTCTCATTTACTGTGATACTATTTACAATTTCAATTCATCTTTTTCGACACCACCAGAAATTACACAATACAAAGACTGCAACGAATAATAATAAATATAAAGTAATAACATTTAATAAGAAACCCTTATCACGAACAGCCTTAAAATGTTTGCCAAAAACAATTGTTAAATTCTTATAATTAATTTAAATAAATGTCGTGTAGATTTATGGTTGTGAATTAATAACAAGATAAATTACTTTAATTTAATAAAATATATTAATTTTAATTTTAATAATTCTCCAATTATAACTTATAATTATAAAAAAAAAAAAAACTAGCTGTTACCCGCGACTTCGCTCGCGCGAATTTTGCAAACAAACCCCAAGTATATTCGGCATTTCAACAACCACAGTAATTGTTATATAACACCTACCGCCGAGAATCAAACGAACTGTTTTCAATTTGATCAATTTCCTGCAACGTTTACAATCGTTCTATAATCGAACCAATATGCAATAACAAATTCGAATTTAACACGGTATCGAACATTTGGAAAATCGAAATACAGTATATAGAAAATATTTATAACAATGTCTGAAATGTAACACTGTAATACCGGCCCATCAGTGGCCAAGTGGTCTCCGTTGCCGCTCATAGCGGTGGTGACTGGACCCTGAACACTGGGAAGTTCGGTCGTGGGTTCGTGCCTGCGATCGGACAGGCTGGCTGCTTGGAGTTTTCCGGGTTTTCTCCTTGCCTATAACGACTGAATAGGAGGCCAGTTCCCCATAAAAGTCCTCCCGAAAGGCATTCTTTTCCCGCGCGCGCGTGACACATCATTCAAGGAAGAAGGCAATGGCAAACCACTTCCTCAACTCTTGCCAAGTAAACTACATGGACAAGGAAAGACTTGCCCATGCAAGTCACCAGGAGTCGAAGACGACTTGATGGAACTTAACAACAAAAATACACCTAAGTACTCGATGAAGACTGAACGTAGTTGAAAATAAAATATCATATGTAAAATAGTACAGTAGAATCCGTTCTTTGGGTTAAGACTTAATCCTCTCTCCCTTTCCCTCCTGCAAGGGAATTTCGAAAAATCCCTTCTTAATGTGCATTTTCATGATGTACTCTGTGTACCAAATCTCACCTTTTTATTAGGTACAGCTGTTTGCTGTGGGCGATGATGAATTAGTCAGTCAAGACAACTAATTTTATATATTTAGATAACTAACTAAAGTATTTTTGAATACTTTTATGCGTGCAAACCAAGTTCATTTGCATTATCCGCTTGATTTTAAGACTGCTTTCAATAAGCAAATATTGTTTCCACATACACTATCGTTTTTATTGTCCCGAAGGACATTAGAAATGATAATTTCCGCATAAATCGAGTGTTTGACATTATACTGTGACGAATCACAGTATAATGTCAAACACTCGATTTATGCGGAAATTATCATTTCTAATGTCCTTCGGGACAATAAAAACGATAGTGTATGTGTTCAAAAATTCATAGTTGAGAAGAGAAACTCGTTGGCATCATTACGTGTAGGATAAATTATTTTCCGCTTTCTGGCGGTGAAGTGCGCAACAAACAAATTAATTCGTTAAATCTGAGTAAACTGTTTGTTTCAGAGTTTCCAACCCGTGAATTTTCGATTCGATTGTTACCAAATATTTACATAGTCGAACCCGTTTCGAGTTTGGCTACACAGAATAACCAATCATACACTTCACGTGTTTGTCCCTCGCTTTCAAACTCAGTCGACACAATTTATTCATTAACTGGCACACTCTCTCTGTAAAAGTTAAAAAGGCCGTACCAGAGTCTTAGCCTTAGAAGAGAAGTGAGAAGAGGATAAGAGAGGTGGAAGGGGAAGATGGGGTAAGTATGATAGGAAAGTGTGAAGAAGAGATTTGTGAGCGTCCAGCACCCTGCTCCGTTTATTGCAACCCCATTAAATGTGATACAAAATGTGGGAACATGCCTAAAGAAAAACAATGAAACTGCTCCAAACAGACCGCGAACCGAATAAAGACCACAATAGACAACTCGCGACTTAGCGAATACAAATATACATGACAATTTAGAGCGAACAAAACATAACATAACAACATGAACCCCAGCTTGGGGGGAACCCTGAAGACCTAGTAAGAGTTATACTGGTCCAAGGGAACAAAAGAGGGACAAGTGGCCTGGACCACTAGGCTAGCGCGTATAATAGAAAGAAAATTAACCAAACAACCTCGCCAGGCAATCCAGGCTGGTTGCATTGCTGAGGCAGGTTGCGATGAGCACAAACAAAGGTAATATATTTGCCGGCTAGTCTGTTGTCACTGTAGAAAGAAGTCCATCTTGGCTTGCGGTGGTACACTAACCCCCGTATTCACCAACTCGAGTTAAACAGAGAGTTGACGAACTCGAGTTTAGATGTAACTCGAAGTCAGATAACGAGTTACTCTTCTTTCGTATTCAGATAAAAGTATAACTCTAGATTTTATGCTTCTAACACAATAAAGTGCTATAAATTAAGACACTTGGCGGGTTGTCTCATCTTTATTTAGTTGATACGTGTGAAAAAATTTACACGTTTCGGGCTTTTAAGCCCCTCTTCAGCCAACTAAAACATTAAAAGAGGATATAACATACATATAAAAAAATACACAAGTTTTGTAAAATTCATAAAAATATAAACATACCTATGCATACAGGTTTTTTTAAAAATTGAAGTAACAGCTACTCCCGATATTTTCCAGTAACATCAGCTTGTTCACAATATTTTTTTCTTTTTNAAAAGTTAAAATAATCCTGTTTTTAATAAATATTATTTTAGTAAAATAATGCTATCTGATATATTTCAAACCGATTAATATATATATACGTAACACGTGACGTAAAATCATGATGTGATTGTTCATGACGCGTTGTTAAAAATATATTCTAACAATACGTAACTAATTGTTACAATATATTGTACGTTTTTTCTATTGTAGGTGAACCATTGTAAAGACAGGAGACGCCGACGAAAGGCGGAGAAGGCTCTCTTTGTTTTGAATCATTAAGTCTTGCTCGGGCAAAAACAGGAGATGCTGACAGGGCAAAGAGGGTTCTCTGTGTCACGTTCCTTTAAGGCTCGCTCGAGTAAAAAGGCCGAGCAGAGATGGAGAGTCATGGAGTATCCCGCATGTACTGTATAAGGCCCGCTCGGGTGAAGACAGAAGACGCCGAGAAAAAGCGGTGAAGGCTTTCTGTATCCCGTTTTATTAAATTTCGCGCAGGGCGAGAATTTTTTGTTCTTTTTTATTGAGGTTCGGTATGAGTTTGAAGTAAATTTTGTGGCCATAACGTCCGTATTATTACGACCTCGCATCTTAGTGGTTTTCTTTCTTTCATTATTACTAGTTGTTGTAATATTGTATTCATTAGTTTAGAAAGTAACGATACGGTGAGTTTCGAATAGTTGAATTTGAAGTATTCAGTGGAAATTATAAATATTTTTGTTGTTTGAGTTAGGACGAATGAAACTCGACAAGTGATGTCAGTCGCTTATAAAGTTGCATTTTTTCCAACTCTTGGTGGAACTCAAGAGTTTTCCATTAAGTGGTGAGTTCTGGGTTGTCGTTCGTCTGCAAATGACGAATGGCAAGCGAAGAGCCGCTTGTTTCCTTCAATTGATAATAAGAAATAAATGAAAAAGTGCCAATAAAAACAGCTAATTACAAAAGTAATTAAAGTTAGGAGAATTAAGTATCTAGCTTTGGTATAAATCGCTTTAAACTTCTTATAAGTGGTGTTAATTGCTTTGTTTTAATCGTGATCGTGAATTTCAATTCACCCTAGTTTTGAATTTTTAATAACTATTTTCTTAACGTAATCAATAGTGTTTATGACCGAAATTAACCAAAAAAGTTTGAGAAAAAGCAGTGGCGTAGCGAACGTAACTGGTGTCCGGGGCACGACACTTTATTGGCGTCCCCCTCCCCTCTCAAAAAACAAATCTTGTTTGTCTTGGAGACCATTTGGCGCCCTCTGCGGGTGCGCCCGGGACACGATAGACCTCCTTGCTCTCCTTTCGCTACGCTAGTTAGAAAAAGTGCAAATATTAAAAAGAAAAGCGTTTGTAACAAAACGATTAATAACGAAATTGCATTCTGTCCTTTCGAATAGATGTAGTAACTTATTCAACGTGAAATTAATTGTACATGAGTTAGAAAATTTTGCGATGTTATATGAAGAAAATTGTAATTCGCGACAAGTACAGTAGAAACAAGAGAGAACGAACGAAGTGAGAAAATTCATAGGTCGAAAAGGAAAAGAGAGTCTGTGAAAATTTCCTTTTGGTTGTTAGAAACAAAACCGATTTTAGAAAGGCCGCGATGATGCGAGAACTCGGGCTTGTGTAAATTTGACGATTCCAATGTTAGGCTATACTTTTTAGTCAAAAGAGAAGTATTCTATTTCACAAATAAAGTCAAGGAACTCAATAAAATTTTTTCACAGCACTTCCTCCGTGAGTGACACAGCTTCCGAAAGACTACTCATCCAGGGAAATGGAGAAAAATTGTGGATTGGAGCTACAGTCAATTTTACCAAAAATGGGCATTTGAGTGACAGGGCAAGGACCCCGAATAAAAGGCAAGAGAACAGGTGATGACACAGAGTTCGCCTGTGTAATTTGTGTGTGTTAAACACTTCTACTAATTCTATGCTCTTGTAAAAGTTTATAAAGTTATGTGAAAACCGAAGGGACGAACTCTTCACCCCGCTTACCGGTAACTGTTCACTTTGTCGACGGATAGCTAGGAGGGCTATAAATCGAATCGAATGGGGAGCACGCGTGTATAAGCCGATAGGTGTTGGTCGTTCCAATGATCAGACAGGTTTAAAATAAACACAATCACAGTTTAATATTTCTCTAGTCTAAGATACATAAAATTACAATTATTGGCTAAATATGGGATTATACGCGTTATAAGCTGCAAAGATATAACCTGCGCGACAAATCTTTTGTAAGCAGCCCGATACACGGGTTTGTTAAATTTAAGCGCGGAGAGTTTACTCATATCTAATCCCGTTCATACGATGTAGGCTGGACGATCGTGGACCTTGGTCAGGAGAAGTGCGGCTATCAAGTCTGGAGAGGTCCTTCTTCGGTAGGGTAGATGAGGAGAGGTCCGAATAGAGTTACCGGCCTGGACGCTTCCTTATGACGAGCGCCCCGAGGTGCGGGTGCGACCCCTTTTTATGCTCGTCCCGCAGAGGGAACTATCGGGGAATTCTAATGCAATCCGGTCCAAGTTCGATTTGCGTCCGGGTGTTGTTTATGTTAATTGTCAGAAATCGAACTTTTCGACAAATTTATTACCTTTTTCTATCCGGTATCGTTACTTATTTTACCTCATTAAACTGATAACATCTGCCAAACATACTAAATTAATTGCTGGTCAGAGTTTGGGTTACAACCTTAGTAATAATTGTTAAATTGGAGAGATATTTGATCGGTTTTATCTATTAAGAAATAGGGAGAAATTGTGTGCGTGTTTTTTTCCACTTGGTTAATTAACCAACTTTTTGTTTACTTTTTTCTCCGACCTTTGACTCGATCCTTATGTCATTGTATTAACATATAACAAAATTATTTAATTAGTAAATTATTCCCTTCGAATAATAATGAAAAATTGTTGTTATTTAACGTTTAAATGCGTAGTGGAATGCGTTATTTCCGGCGCGCTGTTCATCGACTTCCTCCTCCATCCCCAACCCCACCGTTCTCATGCTCGACCGCTCGGGCGAGACTTACAGATNAAAATCTGTATAACTAAACGAAAGTTTTCATTATGTACAAGTTTAACGATAATTATATTTTAATGTATTCTGCATTACTTTCACTTATACATATAATGCACATTCCACACAGTAAATGGTAATTCGACAGATTACAATAAAATCAGTAGTATTATTATTTATTCTTAATACCGACTATATTAATCACATATCTATCTATTTAAGTTTCGATTTCCATAGCCGTTTATAATAACTACAGGTATGAATCTAGCAGACACTTATTAGTAACGATGCATATCATTAACAAAGCCATTTTTTATCCGTAAGAAACATCCATAAATACATCTTTAACTTAAAAACTTCAAGTAATTGATAAAGGAGAAAAGAGATTTAAAAAAAAGGGTTATACTTCTGAACACTTAAAACTTGCAGAAAATTCGTTTAATATTCTAAAATTTTGATAATTCGAAATTGTTTCATTCCCCTTGTGATTTTTCTGCTGGGTTGGGTTGAAGTTAATCGTTTGGACATACTTTTAGTGTCTCACTTAATAAGTTGTAATGTCCACAAAAGGAGGCTTTGTGCCACTTTAAGACTGCGATATTAATTCTGTGTTGACAATTTACTATATTTTTTTATTGTCAACAGAATCGAGCTTAGTCAATACGGCACCTTTAGCAAGAGGCGCTACTGTAATCTGTCACCTATAATCATGCATAATTAGTCATTCATTAGTCACAAAAATTTTGAAATAATATAAAAGTGCTTTTAAGCACGCACTATAATCCGATGTAAGTATATTAAAGATATGTTCCGATTAACAATTCATTTCAATGTTTATTTAATGTATTATTAGTAAATTTATATTTATATTTTATTTCTATTGCTATATCTGACTTTGTTTTTTATTGTATATTTGTATTTGTATATATTAATTTGCAGTTATATTTTTCTTTTTCCGTTGTCAATTTTTTAAATTTGAACATATGTGTTGTATTTAATGAAACACCAATCTTGTAATTCTCTCGTTAAGCCCGAGGATGGCCTATAGAGTAAGCCGAAAACGTTAGTTTTCAATAAAACTATCTCGGAGACAAGAAAGATGTGTTGTGATAAGCTTATAAAACATATATGTCTACAGTGGCGTAGCGTAGTGGGGGCGGCACTTTTATGTGCCGGAAAAATTTTATCTATACAATAAATGATAATAATATCTTGTAAAAATTTGAACCATTTCATTTCATATTTTTGTCGCACCTACGATTCAAACCGATTGAAATGAATACGGAATTTCTCATTACTTATTCTGTGACGAAACTGAATTTTAGTCTTTTAAATTCAGATACCTAAATAAAGGGGCGGCGAAATTTTCCTCCGCCCCGGGCGGCTTACACCCA